AAACGAAAAAAGAATGGTCATTTCTACAAAAACTAGATTAAATGCTTTGGAAAGACTCAATAAAATCATATCATTAAAAAAAATTCTGTCAAAAAATTGCTAACTAAACTAAGAATGAGTGAGAGAACTGTAAAATATCAGGAGGAAAAAAACATAAAAATGAAGAAAGGTTTTGCAATCTGATTGCTTCAAAAGTGTCTAGAATGTCTTGCTCCATGTCAGAGAAACTGAAACAAGACAATACAACGTGGGCGGTTTGTGCAGAAACAGCAATGAGCTCTTCCTTCAGCAGACCTGTAAGCAAAGAAAAGACTTAGGTCTACATCAGAACACTAGCAAATTACTACACATTTAGATATTTTGAGTAGAAAGAAGTCACTTAAATAAAGAATATACTTCTTTTACAGGTTCCTGATTTAAGCAACTTTTTCAATGATCTGACCAATTCTCAATTCCATTACATTGGAAAAGAATGCCCCTGCTTGGTAAAAGAAAAGGCTGACCACAATAGCAATCGCTCCCAATCTAAAAAAAGTACTGGTACATGATATCAACTGATTCCAGCAGTCTGGCCTTTCCAAGGCTAAGTGGCTATGAACTCTATTTCCAAGGTATCAAGCAAAGATAGGCTTTCAGCCTCACTTCAGTCCAACATTTATCTTTTTCTTTTAAAGATTTTGTTTATTTATTTGAGAAAGAGAATGAGGTAGAGAGAGAGAGCATGAGATGGGGGAGGGTCAGAGGGAGAAGCAGACTCCCTGCTGAGCAGGGACCCTGATGCGGGACTTGATCCCAGGACTCCAGGATCATGACCTGAGCCGAAGGCAGTCGCTTAACCAACTGAAACACCCAGGCACCCGTGTCCAACATTTATCTTAATCATGTATTTTGAAGATTACCAGCTCAGTATATTTCTCTCCCTCAACTGACTCTCAAAAAGGCTCCATCTTTGGGGCACCTGGGTTGCTCAGTCAGTTAAGGGTCTGCCTTTGGGTTAGGTCATGATCCCAGGTCCTGGGATCGAGTCCCACATTGGGCTCTCTGCTCAGCAGAGAGCCTGCTTCTCCCTCTGCCTCCCACTTCCCCTGCTTGTGCTGTCTTGCTCCTTCTCTCTCTGTCAAATAAATAAATAAAATCTTTGGGAAAAAAAAAAGGAGAAGGCTCCATCTTCTGGGAGCCAGTAATATGCATACAGTTGTTAAAAGGAGACTGTTCCAACCCCACAATTTTCATAAGTGGGATCTTTAAATATTAATGATTTAAAAATCAAAGGAGGGAAACCCCAGCAACTTTAGACAAGCTATAAATAATTAGGCACTCAGTCAGAGCTGAGTGGTTAAATATCTTGGAGTTTGTCTGAACAGAATGTGCTTTCCTGGAAACCATAGAGCAAAATCCCACTCAGACCAGAGGAACCATATCTGAACTTCCTCATTCTTTTTGCTTATTTTTTTTCTTCTTTAAATTTTTATTGTTATGTTAATCACCATACATCATTAGTTTTTGATGTAGTGTTCCATGAGTCACTGTGCATAACAGCCAGTGCTCCACACAGAACGTGCCCTCCCTAATACCCATCACCAGGCTAACCCATCCCCCCACCCCCCTCCCCTCTAGAACCCTCAGTTTGTCTGAACTTCCTCATTCTTAAGGTAAAGGTGCTAGTCTGACACCTATCATCTGCCTTAGCAAAATCTTTACGGAGTAGCCGGATATGGCTGAGACAACACCAAGATACCAATCTATAAACATTATGAAACAGTTTCCTTTCAAACTGCTTGTGTATGTTTGCCTCCCTTCCCCTGGCCTTGACTACTTCTCCCCAGTGCTCTCTAAATTTCAGTTCAAGCTCGAATAAATTGGGCTGGATGCAGGGTGGATCTCTACAGTCATGACCCAAACCCGAAGAACCTGAATGCTTCCGGTGAAGACCACCAGTCAGAAATCTGCTCAGTCCAGCTGCAGAATGTAGAACGGACCGGACAGCTTTCACAACTGTCATGAGCTAGTCAACCTCACCTCTCAGGACAAGAAAATGTCCCTTTTCAGACAGCCACCAATCCAGATGGCTGGAATTTTGGATAAAGACATTATCTCTAGTAACATATCCGGCAGACATCTTTTGGAAGCTTGAATAAGGCAATCAAAAGTGATCAGAGTGGATCTGTCTTTCTAAGTGGATTTATCTTTCCTCAGTTCAGCTAGGCTGCCAGAACCTTCCATTTCCAGCCCATATGTAACGTCAAGATAAAGGCAGAATCAACCAGATTCCTCCAGCCAAACCAAACTGAGCTCAATTCTAGTCTTCCTTGTGTTTCTAGAGTTACATCAGAACTGTCAAGCCTCTAACTTTCACTAGTGTCTGTGATATATTACCAGAAAAAATGAATTCCTTACTATCTAGAATAACCACGTACTTACAGGTTCTGTTTGTGTGCTGGTTGCTAAAAAAAACTCAGCAATAAAGCTACTTTATGCACAATAGCTAAAATGGCACAATGATCCCCTGGCCCAAGGTTTTCTATTATTCTTATACTTCGACTCACTCTAGTCTTGTTCTGCTTTGAGCTTTTTCACTTAAAGATCCCTCTGTAGCCACTTCTTGCTCTGGGTCAAAACGGTCTCACTGACCCAGCCAGCTTAAATGACCAGCCCAATAATATTTAAGTTTGCCTAGGCTCTGCAAATTTCCCCAGGATGGTACTGCTCTTGAGGTTCTAGGGAATCATCATTCAGGGAGTGGGAGCAGGACCAGAGAGCAGCTCATGCTGGGATGGACATCCACCAAGGCCACCTCCCCCAGACCACCTGGGGTGTCCATAGCTGTGAGAAGTTGGGCAACCCCAAGACACACTAACAGCAGCCCAAAAACACAACTAGAGCCCCTGTACCTGCTGGGGTACCTGCCTGTAGCCCGAGGCTAACTCATTATTTCTTCCCAAGCCATGACTCCTTTCCCTGATGCTTCATCCCAGCCCCCACCAAAAGAGACCTAAGTGAAGTAATGGAACTTTGTCCTCCAGTCAGGAGGAATCATCGCCCCTCCTGTCTCCCCTGGCTTTAGGAGGGGAGAAAGAAATCTCTCCACTTCATGCTTCTGGGAGTTTTGATGCTGAAATTCCTTTGGTTGCCCAGGTGGCTCAGGACCCTTTTCCTAGAATGACAGACACAGGTGTCCCTGCTCCTGAAAGCTTGCCCCATGTTCCCATGCCTGGACCATCGCATTATTTATTCATTCAAGGCAACATAAAAACATTCAAGAATCTGCAATGTATGAGACCTTAAAACTAGCCATGGGGGATACAGCAGTGAAAGGGACTAAGTCCTCACCTTCAGACAAACTACAGCCTATCGGAGAGGGGGAAACAATAAACCCACATGCCAATAAATAAGTTCATAAAGCTGTGCCTGCTATGAAGGAAGTAAGACAGGGCAACAGGACAGAGTGAAATTGGAGGTAGTGGCAGGGGCTACTGCCATTAAGGTGGTCAGGGAAGTCTACTCTGGGAGGGGATATTTGAGCTAAGATGTGATGATAAAAGAAGCTAACTGGTCACTCATCTGTGAGGAGAACATTCCAGAAAGAAGATACAGCAAGTGTCAATGCCCTGAGAAAAGAGCAAGCTTCCTCTTTTCATTTCTTTTCCTTAAGCTTCATCTTTTCAAAAGGAGAGTGGCTGGAGCTGGGGTCATAGAGGCAGGCAGGGACCCATGCTTCCCCGGGACGTCCTGGGCTGCATGCAGAAGAAGCCACCAGAAGGTGATAAGCAGCAAGTGACCAGGTCTGTGTTTTAAAAAGATCACTTTGGCTACTGGAAGGAGAATGGTCTCTGGAGCCGGAAAGGAAAGAGGGGCAGCGGGCAGGGGACTGGCTGGTTGCTTGGACTCGGCCAGTAATCACAGAGACAACGAGCCATGCCACGATCCTGGGACTCAGGACATACTCTGGAGGGAGGGCTGCTGCCAGGACTCTAGAACAGAGGTGGTAAGTCCGGCACCTGTGAATACTCGCTAACAATCCCTGCACGAGTAGTGCTCATACCCCCTCGTCCTTAGACGTGCCATGCAGGACAGTGGCCCAGACGCCAGACTTGGGAGCCAAAATGCCCAAGTTCAAATTTCAACTCGTCTGCTTCCTAGCGATAAAACTTGGTACATCACTGAACCTCTCTGAACCTCAATTCCTCATCTGTAAAATGGAGGCAATGATAAAGACACCCTCATAGTGTTGTTGCAAGGATTCAGCTAGTTACTGGGGGTAGACAATTTGGGGAAGGTGCCTGCCACATAGTATATCTGTTTCCTATTGATGCCATAACAAATGACTACACGTTTACTGAATTCATTAACATAACATCAGTTTATTCTCCTATAATTCTGGAGGCCAGAAGGACAAAATCTGTTTCACTGGACTAAAGTCAGGGTGTTGGCAGGGCTGGTTCCTTCTAGAGGCTCCAGGGGACAATCCATTGCTTGCCTTTTCTGGCCACATCACTCCAACCTCTGCCTCTGTCATCGGCTGCCTTCTCCTCTTATGACCTTCTTGCCTCCTTCTTACAAGACCCTTGTGATTATATTTAGGGCCCACCTGGAGAATCCAGAATACTCTCCCCATCTCAAAACCCTCAACTTCATACATCCACGCAGCCCCCTTTGCCATATTCACAGGTTCTGGGGATGGGGACACAGAGAACTTTGGGGGCCATTATTCAGCCCAGCATACATGTTAAGCAATAAATAAAGGTTAATTATTATTATTATCATTATCATTATTACTTCCTCGGCAACTCCAGAGCATATCCCCAACCCCGTCTTAAGCTGTGTGGGAGAAAAAGGGATGTAGAGAGACCCCTATCTACCTCCCAAAAGCCCCCTCAGACAAGGCCAAGGCTTCAGTCCCTGGTTGGTCCTCGTGAAGTGACTGGGGACAGAAAGCAGACAGAGCAGGAACATGCTCACAGGCCTTGTGTGGGGTTGGAGAGGGGAGCCTGGAGCTCAGGCTAAGATCTCCTAATGCTGCTGTATTCCATGGGTTCCTCGTGGCTCCTGCTGGGAACGTGGGCAACGTGGTAGTTCATGTTGTAGTAGGTTGACTCCTGATTCAAAGGCTCCCAAGACAGAGCCGCATAGGAAATGTCCTCCTTCCGAAAGGGGGCCTGTAATAGAGATTCCCAAAGGGTCAGAGAGGCAGGCAAGAGGCTTTGCCCAGGGAAGGAGGAGGACTTGGATGAGGTGGGGGCACAGAGCCTTCAGAGCAGAAGACCCTCCCTCCACTCCACGCTAGGGCAGCACAATTCACATGGAATCCCAGGCCTGTCCAGGTCTCCACTGCCAAGCATAACGGCCATGTCTGATGGGACTCTGAGTCCCCCAGTGCTGAGGCCGGCTATGGAGACACTTCTAAAAGCGCAAAGTCTGGGGGAGCTACACAGGCAAGTCTTTCAGTGGCTATGGCTTGGCCCAGCACCTGCCCCTCCTCCTCTGTACCCCCACGGGTGGGAGAAAGCCCATCCTCAGAGCAGGGGCAATGGCAGATCAGGCTCCAAGCCCCATAGCAGCCCCACCAAGTACACACCATGGTGACATATTCCACTTCCTGCTGATCATCCAGGGCAGAGGAGGAGGACTTTGTGCAGGCCTTCTTCTGGGAGGAGTTGTGGGAGGTGCTGGTTGGCTCCAGGGCCAGGTTTGCATAGCAGAGATCCCCCTCTGGGGGCTGGAGCACCTTGGAAAGAAAGCCCAGGTCCTCTTCCCCAGAGGGACACAGACCCTGTGCTTCCCTGGGTCCCCCTCTCCCAGCTTCCTCTGCAACCCCCACACCTACCCCTCCCAGCCCTTCTCCCTTCTGGCTGTTTCCAGGGTCCAACCGCCATCCTCCCAGGCCGTGAACACACAGACACTTGGGCACATAGTCTGTCTGGTATGTTTGGACCTCAGTGCTCCTGAGAGAAGGAAAAGGAGGAGTGAGAGAGAGGAGCTGTCTGGGGTCTCTGGTCTGACCTCCGGGACTCTCTTACCTGCTCTGGGGGTATCCCAGCAGCTAAAAGACAAAAACAATCAGAATTAGAAAGCCCACCCCTAGACTCGCAGGGCCCCCAGGTCTGGGGGAAGAGAAATCTGGAAGAAAAGAGGTGAATTGGGCTCTAGGCTCAGAGAGATGAGACCTGGTTCTGACTCCTCAGATGGCACACTCTGTGACGTTGGTCACTTCACCTTCTCTGAACTTCCAGTTCTCCACCTGAGAAATAAGGAGACCTCGCCCATCTCCCCCACATCACAGAAGGGCGATCAGCTGATCCGGTCGCCCTGCCACCAATCAGCGTCCCTGGGGTTAAGTTTCCTTTTGTGCAATTGCAGGCTCAGACTAACTTCTGCCAGAAATCCTGCCTGGAATGCCCCCGTTTCTCTACTAGATTGGTCACTCAGGAGTCAACTCAAAGTCACACCTGTCTTCCCAGCTACCCAGGGTGCTGAATCCCTCCCTCTCCGGCTCCACGGTACTTGATTTCTATCTGTCTTGTCGCCTCTGTCCCACTGAATTCCAGTTAGTTTTCCGGTGGGCTGTGGGCTGCTGGGCGGCTGAGCCCGTCCCCTCCTTGCATCACTGGTGCCTGGCCAATCCTACAACACGAATGTCCCCTCCAGGCTGCCCTCTGAGTGAGGTGCACAAGCCGGGTCAGCATCTTATGGACCAAATTTCAAGTGTTTGTGGTTCCTGTTTCTCTCTGCCCACCCACCCCCAATTTTACAGACAACACAGAAATAAGTTCTTTTCTCCTGGTTTTTAGTTTCAAAAGCCTAGATATTGAGGCGCACAGAAAGTACTTAGAACTTAGGTTGCAGACATACACTGGGGAGGAAACGTGATGAGCAAGAATGAGCCCCAACTCCTCCTTGACTACAAGAGTGCCCAGGCTGCAGCAGGGGAGGGGTGCTGGAGAGCACCCCAAAAGAGCTGAGACCCTAGTGAGTTCTGAGGAGGGGGGTGCATTTACTGTGAGAATGTGGAAGCAGAGCCAGCCATCAGCCCCACACTCCCACCCAGCCCAGCCCAGCCCCAGCACAGCGTCAGCCATATCTGATCACCTCTCTTCTGCTGCTTCATCTTTCTCAAAGCCAAGAGTGAGGCCATCACCAGGAGAAGCAGCAACACAGCCAACATGAGGGGAATCAGGATGCTGAGCTTCATGGAGTTAGCGCTGGAAACAATAAAAGAACATCATGCACCCCGGGCCACCTCCTGCTTCTGGGCCACACCCCGGCCACCTGGTAGCAAGGAGGGCCACACACCTTTTGACCTGCAAGCCTGGGGTTTCTAGCCTGGGAACCCCACTCCTGGGTGTCCTCAGAGATGGTAAAAAAAGAATTTTTTTTAAAGGACAGGAGGGTTCCACAATGTTTCTGTGGGTCTAGACACCTAACGGAAATTGTATGGCAAAGGGCCCTGGAAAGGTCTCTCCGCTTCTACACTTGCCCCTGCTGTACTGGATTAAAGAGTGTCCCCCGCCCCCACAATTCATGTTCATTCAGAACCTGTGAAGTTGACCTATTTGGAAATAAGATCTTTGCAGATGTAATCAAGTAAAGATGAGGTCCTATTGGATTGGGAGGGGTCCTAATCCAATAGCTGGTGTCCTTACAAGACGGAAATTTAGCCACAAACAGATGTGCAAAGGAAGAAGGCCATGTGACAACAGAGGCAGAAATTGAGGTCATGGTGCCACAAAGCAAGGAGTGCCAAGGATGGCCGAAAGCCACCACATTCTCCTTTTGAGTCCCAAGAAGGAGCCAACTGTGCTGACACCTTGATCTCAGCTTCTGGCCTCCAGACTGTGTAAAAATAAACATCTGTTCTTGAAGTGGCCCGGGATGTGGTGTTTTGGTAAGGGAGCCTGAGTCTAATGCAAAGACTATCTCTTATTCATCACTAGTCACAGAATTTATAGAATAAATTCATCAATCGATGAATTAATTACTCTATCTGGCACATTAATTATCTTTCAGTTGTAAGTACCTGGAGAGCAGACAGCTTGATCATTCTGTTCTTCCTATATCCTCTTGTATTTCGCAAGAGAGTGGTAGGCATGAGTGGGGGCTCAATAATTATTTGAATGAATGAATAAATGAATCCATCTCATGCTGATCAAAGACCCTAATTGATACTTATATACAGCTTTGATTCATAAAAAGAGGAAACTCCTTAACTATTACTTATTAAAAGCAGGTTAGTAAAAAGAAACTTTTGAAACAGAGGGCAAATGGGAGAGGTGAAGAGGGGGGTTCCTGGGTGGGGGTAGAAGAATTGGGGACCTCCCATCCAGATTCTACAAGAAAGCCCAGCAAAAGGAGATCACAGCAAGTCTAGAAACAAAGTCAAAAGGGCCAAGGAGGTGATGGAAAGAGGCCTCTGAGCTTCCAGAAAGCCACTTCAGCTGCATTGGCAGGGCAGAGTGCTAAGAAGCATGAGAGAGACTCAGTTTCTTCCTCTATAAGATGGGCGTTTGTATCTGCCTACTCAGCCTCATGAAGCAGGGTCCAAGAATTAACAGACAATGGACAGAAAAGCCCTCTGTGAGCTGACAGGTGCTCTCGAGACGGGGCAAACATCAGTACTGCTATTCTTGCCATAACGGTAATTAGGGGAGACAGGATGTCTCCAAGCCCTCCCTGTTCTCCTGGCATTTGGACCAAGCGCTGTCCCTGTGGCCCTACGATACCGGTACCCCCCCAACACACACACACACAGTGGCCATGCCATCTGCACTGACTGCCTGCTTATCAGTCTCCCACCCTGCACTCTGAGCTCCTGGGGGGCAGCTCCATGTCTATGCCTCCAGAGCTCAACAAGGGGTTGACCATGTAGAAGTCAATTCAGTAAAAATGAGATAGAAGAATGAATGCACCAACACATCTACAGACTGTACTGGGCTCCGGGAGGAAGGATCTGAGGGGCTCCAAGGACACTGTGGGGCCTGATAGCAAGTTGGAAGAGCCCCTGGCATCCTCACCCTCTCAAAGGAGGAGAAGAGTCTCAGGACAAGCTCTGGATGGTACCTGGGACTGCAAAGTGTCCCCCCATTGGAAGAGTTTGGGCCAAGTCGACCGCAGGGAACAGTGCACCGGAGCTGGCTTACCTGCCATTGGAGTGGTGGCTGGTCACAGTCCGGGGGCCTTTGGTCTCTGCTGGCGCTGTGGACATGGTTGTTGTGGTGGTGGTGGTGGTTGATACTGTAGTTGGTGTTAGGCATACAAACCAGATTATGCACCATTCAGCCTGCTAACCTGCCCACAGCCCTGCACTTGGCTTTGAGCCTGGGGGTTGGGGGGGAGCCTGGAGCTGGGCCATGGGAAAGTCCTATAGCCTGGACTGCTCATATCTCCCTGGCCACTAGAAGACTCAGCCTCAGAGGCAGGAAGGACTGCGTACAGGTCCAGGGAGGATGTCAAGCGGGCCCTGGAAGGATTAGAGGGGGCCTGATGTTACCTCAGGGCAAAGGCAGCTGGAGCCTCACAGGTTCAGGTAGGGTGGGGGCTCTGTGGACTCCGTGCTGTCCCCTGGCCACAAGTGCCCTGTGAGCTGGTGCTGCCTATCCGGGGGTCAGAGAAGCAGAGCCCGACAGACCAGCTCATTCAAACCAAGGCACTGGGACCTCTGAGCTGCCCTCTCCCAGGAGTGTCTGCATTCTAGGACTACTTAGGAAGAGAACATCATTAGACCCAAATGCATATATGGCCTGTAAAGGAAATGCAGCCATTCGACTGGGGAGGCCTTTTCAGACCTCAGGAATTAACCACAGCACCCCTACTGTGCTGGGCCTCTTCCCTCTCCGCCTGGATATGAAACAGGGGGTGGGAATAGCCTGGCCCCAAACTCCAGAATGAGCAGGGACACGTGGGCACCAGAGGTCCAGGAAAGCATTGGCAGGAATTGGGGTCTCTGGGTCCCAGGGAAGAAGGTCCTTTGGTCCACAGATGAAACTGGGACCATCACCTTGATCTCTATGGACAACAGACTAGGCACTGTGCTGTGCAGAGAAACAGATATCCAGAAAGGCTTGATCCCATCCTGGAGGAGGTCCTGGAAGCCATGAGAGCATCTAAGAGAAGCCCTGTCCCTCCCAATCCATGAGGTCAGTTGGGGTCCTAGAAGAACTCAGGACTCAACCCCCCTGTGTATCAGTTCACTCCGAGTGACCTTAAGTCACTGGAGAGGAACCTCGGGGACCAGGACAGAGCAGGTCCTAAAGAGACACATCCACACCCACACATAAACTCTTACCTCGGTCAATGGTCACTTTAACTTCGACCCCAAGGTCAATTCCAGATCTCTCAATCCCACACCAGTAAGTGTCTGCATCGTTCCACCTGAGCTCCTCCATGGTCACAGTGAACGTGCGCGATTTGTGATTGTCCTTGATGGACACTCGGTCCCCCTTCTTTTCCTGCTCTGATCCATTGGTTTGAACAAGGATACGGCAGTAACTCCACTTGGCTCCTCGACACCACCACTTACTGTAGGTCTCCCACCCGGGTCCATAGCGACACTGCACAGTCAGTGAGCCCCGCACTGGGCCACTCACTGCATTGGACACTGCTTTGAGGGCAGATGAGCCTGAAAACACAAAGCCATGTGCTTGTCACACCCCACCCCACCCCCTGAGGGCAGAGCCACAAACTCCTGCATCACAAGTAGCCCCAATAAACCCAAGAGCCTGATGAGTTGAATAACAGTCAAAGAGGTAATACACCTTCCACAAGATAGATCTTTGTCCTTCAAAACTCCACTGGGTCAAAGCCACCATAGAAATCACCTAAGAGGGTGCCTGGGTGGCTCAGTTGGTTAAGCGACTGCCTTCGGCTCAGGTCATGATCCTGGAGTCCCAGGATCGAGTCCCACATCAGGCTCGCTGCTCAGCAGGGAGTCTGCTTCTCCCTCTGACCCTCCCCCCTCTCATGTGCTCTCTCTCTCTCATTCTCGCTCTCTCAAATAAATAAATAAAATCTTAAAAAAAAAAAAAAGAAATCACCTAAGAGCTCAACTACACATCTCAGAGAAACAAAAATGTCCACACTGAGCAGTGACAGCTTCCGATAATCCACTCCTCCCCCTCCCTGTGGTCAATGTCATCTGGAGAGCAAATGACCCAACCGAAGGCTTGGCCCCGGTCCACTTCAGCCCGTTGTCTTCGTGCAACATATGGGCTCTGTGGCTTCAGATCTTTTCATTTTTCTAGAGTAGCCAGGAATCCAGATTTTGTGTGGAACCTCTCAATTTGAAAACACTGGCTTCACTCGAAATGTCCCCACCAGCAATGGAGTGTGGCCATACAAACCCCTTCTGCTAGCTGACCTTGGCTGTCAGTACTCAGCTCCAGCCCTATAGTCCTAAGGAAGGCTCTTTTCTGGAATTTTCTTTATGCTGTCTGCTGAGGTTTGATATGAGATGCTCCTTTTACACAATTAATCTGGCAGATTTCTATCTTTTCCATGTGCCGAGATCAGTACATAAATAGAGCAAAGGAATTTCTGTGTCTTTAGAATCCTAAGAAATTATCTACAAAACTATCTGGCAGGGGCGCCTGGGTGGCTCAGTCGTTAAGCATCTGCCTTCGGCTCAGGTCATAATCTCAGGGTCCTGGGATCAAGCCCCGCATCGGGCTCCCTGCTCAGTGGGAGGCCTGCTTCTCCCTCTCCCTCTGCCCCTGCTTGTGCTCTCCCTCTCTCGCTGTGTCTCTCTCTGTCAAATAAATAAATAAAATCTTGAAAAAAAAACTATCTGGCAAATTCATTATTGGGACAAATACTTTGATTACTGGAAAGTGTTTTCCCTCTGAATATTGTTGAATTCCCTTGAATATTGAATATTCAAGTTCTTTGATGGGTCTTGAATTTGTTCTATTGTTTTGGTTTGTTTTTCCCAGAAATTTAACTTATTTCATGGAGTATGTATTAGTAAAAAGTCCTGCATTTAAAAAGTATTCTTTTATAATTAAAATGTCCGTATCTGTTATTATTACACGTTCTGACCACACGCGGTCGGTGATTTGTGTGGATTACACCTGCTGCAGGATGTCCGCCTTCTGTTTCTCCTCCCCTCCTTGTTTTTTTTACTGCATTAAACCACTTTTGAGATTAGTTTTTATTTCCTGTTATTAATTTCTCATATATGTAATTTTATTCCTCTTCTTTCCTCAAGATTAGTACTTGTGCTCTTCCAATTTGCTAAGTTAAAGACAGTGATCATTTTCTTCCTTTCTAAAATGAATTAAAGTGTGTTTAAGGCTAAGAATTTACTTTTGTCCATTTTAAAAATTGAGATATAATGCACATATCATAAATTTTACTCTTAATTTTAAAGCATATACTCTGGGGTTTTTAGGATATTTACAGAGCTGTGCAACCATCACCTCTATTTCTAGAATGTTTTCATCACCTCAGAAGAAACTCTGTACTCCTGATTCGTTCCCCCACTAACCTACGTCCTGTCTATAGATTTCTTTATTCTGAAATCTACATTTCATGTACACATAGTCATACAATGTGTGGCCTTTTGTACCATAGGACACTAAAAAGATAAGTGGGGAGGGGAAGGGTTTCCCACAAGTGTGGCTGGATCCTGTCACCTCTCCCCGTACTCCACTTAGGTAAACGCAGGGAGATTAAGAAGGTCAACATATAATAACAAATCACTTCTTAAACTAGAAGAACACAGAAGTGAGCCTCTATAATATTTCTGAATGAAAGGGAGCACTTTCTAAGCTTAAAAATTCATGGAAGACATCACACAAGAGTCTGTGAATTTGGCCGCATATAAATGTAAATGTAACATGGATATTGGATAAACCCCCAAAACAACTGAAGGGATGCAAAAAACAGACTGCAAGAAATATTTAGAACCAATAACGTAGAAAAAGATTAATAATCATTTTTTTAAAGAGTGTATAAAAGATGCACATTAAGACTCCATTTAGAAAATTGGTAAGGGGCAAGAAAAGGCAAGTCACAAAGAGGAAATTCAGGTGGATGATAAAATTGGAAGTGTTCCATTTACATAATCTAGCAAATGAAAACATTTTAAAGTGATGTCATTTTCACATATGAAACCAACCAAGTTTTTGTGACTACTATATTGCTGACATGGGTGACGTGGCAGGGACACACGGAGAAGCTGCTGGTAAGGATGTAACGGGTTCAACCATTACCGAAAGCAATGTGGCAATTATGTATCAAAATAATCATGACCTTTCCTCCAGTGATCATATGTCTAGGATTTGGTCCTCAGGAAATAATCAGAGAAGCTAACAAAAACATATGCACCAAGATTCATTACATAATTATTTAAAGAGCAAAAATAAAGGAAATAAGGTTAACATCCACCAATTAGGGAAATAAATAAACAACAAAATATAATGCAGACACTGATAATTATGCTTAGAAATACTGTTAATTATGTGGAAAATCCTCATAGGAAGTGAAAATGTTTTTTTAAACATCATATACAGCATAATCTCAACCAACTTTTAAAATATGCATAGAAGAAAAGATTAAAAGGAAATAAGTAAAAATATTAAATGAACATCAGGTTGCCTTGGGCATTAAGATCAGGGACATAAAGTTTTTTATTTTTCCTAACTCTTCATTTTTTTCCTGTAATTTCCTAAGTATCAACAATGAGCATTTGTTACTTTCAAAATAATGGGGGGGGGAGAATAATGCCTAGACAGGGCGGTTCCGTGGCACGGTGAGCAGAATAATGGCTTCCTAAGTATGACTATGTCCTAATCCCCAGAACCTGTAAAATACGGTAAAGCTCACATGGCAAAGTGGGACTTTGTAGATGTGACTAAATTAAGGATCTTGAGTTGGAGAGATTATCCTGGAGCATCTGGGAGGGCCCAAGGTCCTTATCAGAGGGAGGCAGGAGGGTCAGAGTCAGAGCAGGAGAAGGGACACTGAAGATGAGGTGGGGCCACACACCAAGGACACAGCAGCCTCCGGGTCGTGGAAAAGTCAAGGAATCTGATTCTCCACCAAAGCCACCGGAAGGAACGCAGCCCTGGTGACCCTTTTAGACTCTGACTTCCAGACTGTAACATTATAAATTTGTGTTGTTTTAAGCCACTATGTGTGTGGTAATTTGTCCCAGCAGCCTTAGGAAACTCTTAAGGTGGCATTCACCCATCTCACCTGAGTACTGGAGTTGGGCCCCCACTCTTGAACTGTCTGCTCCACTCGCTTCCTGGAACCATCTTTCCAGGGGCCAAATCCCCACCAACCTCGGCAGAGCACCAGCCCTGCTGTCTGAACCCTCCTGACACAGAAGGCAGCCCTGAGGGGGGTGCCTGGGTGGCTCCGTCGGTGAAGCATCTGCTTTAGGCTCAGGTCATGATCTCAGGGTCCTGGAATCGAGCCCCATATCGGGCTCCCTGCTCAGCGGGGAGTCTGCTTCTTCCTCTCCCTCTGCCTGCCGCTCCCCCTGCTCATGTTCCCTCTCTCTCACTCTCTCTCAGATAAATAAATGAAATCTTAAAAAAAAAAAAGGCAGCCTTGAGCCCCAAGGAGCAGCATCCTCCGTAGGCATGGTTACCCCCAGACTAGTGGATCGGGAGTAATCCTAGATGAGGAAGAAGCTGAGCCCCAGGGTGAGGTGACGGGCTCACCGTCAGAGAAGGACAGGATGGACCCCAACCCCAGCACAGCACAGGACGTCAGCCAGTCTCCACTCTGGGCCAGCACACGTGGGTCTTGTCCCCGTCTGCCACCACTTATGGTGAGGCTGAAGGTGGACAAAGCAGCTAATGTTTCCCTGAAAATACAGGATACCAATCTCTTCCTTTCTCACAGAAAGTGAAGGCTGTAAAGCCAGTGGGAACTCTAGTTGGTGTTTGTTTCTTGTATACCTTGGAAACAATGAACTCTTTAGAAGTGGGAAGCGGTGCAGGGTAAATTGGTTGCTTGTTATGGGAAGTTCAGTGGGAGAGGCTAGTGAGGAGGGCACAAAGGTTCACAGCACAGACCAGGTTCCTGCTTAGCACACAGCTGTGCTTGCTGGCTTCCAGTTGATGTTCCCACTCTGCCTTGATCACGCTCATGCACACACGCACACGCACACACACACACACCAGCGCTACTCTCACATCTGCTCACCAACTTCCCCTGTTTCCAGATGTCGGGGGAAAGAAGAAGCAGTCCTTTCTGTGCATTCGCTGCCCTGCTGATTTGCCTCCTAAAGGCTCACCCAGAGTCTGCCTTCTTCATTCCTACGACCCATCCCCAGCTTTGCCTTTACCAGCGTTATGGTCCTGGACATGTCACTTTCCTCCCCTAAGACTTTTTCCCCAGACACAGTGGTATCCTCCCAGTCTGCCCCACCAGGCTGTTCTGAAGCACGTGAGGAAGCCACACAGCCCGGCCACTCCTCAGGCCCGCTCAGGCTAGGCTCGTGTCCCTATCACAGCCTTTGTGCTCACTGTTGGCCTGTGCCTGAAAACCTGCCCCCGATCCTAAGTGCCTGCTCCTTCTCGTCCTCCAGGCCTCTGCTCAGACATCTCCTCCCAGAGGCTCCTTGCAGCCCACCCCATCGATAGCGCCAACCCCCTGCTCCCTGAGGCTCACTGTGTCAGGTCACCTAGCTCAGGTCTCCTTACAGCACCTACCACTTCTTGGAGGTATCATTGTCATTTCTCTGACTGATGGAATGATCAAATTCGACCACGTAAAATACTCACAAATCATAAAGGGCTGTCCACTTGCCATGAACACATTCTTCCAGAGCCTGAGATCCACACAATGCCAAATGCTACCCGGAGACTTTTCTACCAGGAGAACTCCACCACTCCTGATTCTTCCCTCTGCTCCTTGATTATGTTCATACTGACATATGATTCCCATACTACACAATTCATCCTTTTAAAGTGTACAACTCAGCAGTTCTTAGGACAATCACAAAGCTCTGCAACCATCACCACACCCAATTCCTTTTTATCACCCCAGCAAGAAACCGCTGACTCAGGTAGCAGTCACTCTCCCTTACTCCTTCCCCGAGCCCGTCGCAACCACTAATCTACCTCCCGTTTCTATGAATTTAGGTATTTCAGATATTTCATAGGCATGGGATGGTACAACAGATGGTCTCTTGTGTCTGGATCCTTTCACTTAGCACAATGTTTCCAAGGTTGGTCTGTGTTGCAGCATGTGTCCATATTCATTTGTTTTTATAGCTGAATAATATTCCATTGTATGGGTATGCCACATTTTATTTATTCGTCCATCAGTTGATGTACATTTAGGTTGTTTCCAGTTTTTAACGATTATGAGTAATGTTGCCATGAGCATTTGAAAACAAGTTTTTACATGGACATATGTTTTCAATTCTCTTGGGTATACACCTAGGAGTAGAATTGCTGGATCATGTGGTAACCATATGTTTATCATTTTGAGGAATGTCAAATTGTTTTCCAAAGTAGCTGCACCATTTTACATGCTCATGAGCAATGCATGTCCTCTACAACTAATGTCAAGAGTTTCAAGTGTTCAGTTCTATGAAAAAAAAAGATGGGGAGTATGGTAATCCTATTTTTCCCTCTCCGTGAGTTACATTCGCTCACTCAACTAATACTTGCTATTTGTCTAATCTATACCTCGTATGTTTGCAGGAGCAAAAATCCCTGCCTTCCTATGGCTTATGTTCTCTCAAGGTGGGGGAAGGGAGGAATCAGACATAGAGAAAAATAATGCAGGGGAACTGTTATTTTAATGAGGTTTCTTATCAATGCAGGCCTCAGTGAAAATCAAAGTGGCTATATGAAGAAGAGCATTCCGGGCAGAGAGAACAAGTGCAAAGGCCCTGAGGCAGAAGTGTACCTAACATGTTCAAAGAATATCTAAGAGGCCATTTTGGCTGCAGTGGGTTGAGCCGAGGGAGCAGAGTAGAAGAGGTGATCAGGGAGATGATGCAGTGAGAGAACAAGGTGGTGCACCTTGTAGCTTCTGGAAGAACTCTATGTTTTTACTCTGAGTAGGATAGGAAGTCATTAGAGGGTTTTGACCAGAGGAAAGACAAGATCTGGCTTGAATTTCCTAAGGATCATTATGGGATATGAGAGAAGAGATGAATGACCTCAGGTTTTGCCTGAGTACCTAGAAAAGTACCAAACACAAAGTTTGCCAAACACAAAGATGGAAGAGAAAGGAATTCGAGAGGGGAAGATATGCTCAAGTCACATCTGAAATATCAACATCTTAGTGGAGAGTTGAATGCGCAGTTGACTAAAAGAGTCTGGGGTCCAGGGTGATGTCCAGGCTAATGATACAACATCAGGTGTCATCTGTATAGAGGTGGTATTTAAGCCAAGAGAGGAGAGGAGATCAATGAGGGAACGGCTCTAGAGCTCTAGAGAGAGAAGCCCAAAACCGAGCCCTGTGGCCCTCCAGCATTTCCAGGTCAAGAAAAATCCCCTTAATTTTTAATCAAAATGGTATCCATCATCTTACAGTTTCCTTCCACCACCATCCCCATCTCAGTCCCTCAGCAACTTCTACTATTTCCTTCTGCCCCAAATGCCTAGAACCACGTCTCCCTCCCTATCTGGCAAACTCTCTGCTTTCTTTGCTCCAAAGCCGCCTCCATCCTCACTCCTTCCCTTCCTCATAAGGCATTCTTGAAGGTGACAGTGCAGGAGCAAGTGTTCACCAGCTCTCCTGAGCAACCAGGGCTCCTCTGTTTCTCTTAGACCAGGGGCGCCCATCAGTCCAAGTCCATTTGGAACAATCAACCTCTGGGTGGTCAGGAATTATTCCTTGTGCAGGGTGAGGAATAGGGTGGATGACACACACAGATTCACTACTTGGAGAAACTGCTTAGAAATGGAGCCTGTTTCCCAGAAGGACCCCTTGCTGGGCCCCCTCCTCCCTCCACCAGCCACTTCATCCTGCCCCAGAAGCTATTCTCTGGTACAGACCCAGGCCCCCCTCACCTGCAAGCTGGAAGAGGAGGAGGAAGAGCAGCAACAGGTTCATTTTCTCTTCGCAAAGCCCCCCTTGACGGAGCCAGTCAACTCTGACCCAGCTCCAGCATCTTCCAACCTTCTGCTTTCCCCACTCTTGCACTTCCTCCTTTGGCCACTTCCCACCGGTGAAGAAGTGAAAAGAGGAAGGAGGTAGAAGGGGTGAAATCTCAAGGCAAGAAGTAATGCAACAAGTCTCAGTGATCATGAATAAGGTTTTGAGAAATACCCTCCTATCTGCAGCCATGGAGGATTCTCTAAAAGGAGGACTTTGCTACTCCTTCTAGGCTTTGGTGGAAATTTGCAGACACAGACCCAGTGGTTGGGGCTGGCTCTTACTCAATCCTTCTCCTCTGGTAGGAAGACTGGGCGGAGCGAACTCAGCTCCATCACAGAAGTCTTGGAGAGCCGAGACTGAGAAACACAATACCAGACACATGGAATTTCAGGTGTAGCCTTGGGAGCCCAGGAGGTCAGGAGTTCAGCTGCGGGGAGCTTGGGCCCAAGCCCAAAAGCCAGAGGAGAGATTCTAGACCAGAGAGTGGAATGAGGAGGTGGAGAGTATCAAACCCCAGACTACAAACAAAGGGGTTCAAAGAGTAGGGATATGTGATCAGGGACCTACTGGTCTAATGGGCAAGAGGGGCCTCTGTCCTCAGAACATACTGGAAACTCTCATTGCTGTGCCCTAGACCACCAAGTAAGAGCCTGTGGATAATGATGCCAACCTGAATCCTCCAGACACTTGCCGGTTATACCAGGGCCTCCTTCCTGAAGAAAGCTGCTCATTGCTCATGGCTACTACCCCCTCACTCCTCACTCCCCCCTTATAATAGCTATCTATGGAAATAAGAAGGTCAGCACCAGCTTTGCCTGTCTTACTCCTTCTTTCTGACAACTTTTGTGCCCATCCCCCATCCCTCCCATCAGGACCCCAGCAAGCCCCAAGGTGGAGCACAGAAGCCAGGAAATGATAAGGCCCTTTCTCATATTTTGCCCCTGGAGCTACTTTTGCTAAGTGGCACACACACCCTGTGATATCTTGAGAAGCAAGAGAGTCCCAAGGAAGGACATAAGCCCCTCACACCCTAATCAGGAATGAGAAGGTGTGCAGGAGGCTTATTTGCACACACATAAAAAAAACAACAGCTGATAAGCCAAGCTTTTCCAGGATGTGGCCAGAGACAGCTTTCCACTTTACATATCTCCAGACCATAAAGTAAGATCAACAATTTGGAGTGAGGGCTTGGTCAGCCCTCCGTCCTCATTGCTCAACAAGCCCATCCTCTGCACTGTACACTTATGTTGAGAGACATTGACCTCTGCAAACAAGGACAGTATTTGGCTTCCAGGGGAAATGACTAACGAGTTAAGCAAGCTGGGACATCCCTGAAAAACAAGGGAGCAGATGTTTTGAGAGTTGTGGGTAAACTTTCCTTTCTTGGACATAGGGGGTAAGGAATGAGCAGCATCTGAGCTGCTCAAAGTCCTGCCTGTGGCCCGGCCCTCTGCTCCTGGGCCCAGTTTACCCAAGTGTTAGGAGTTAGTTGGACAATTAGGTAGTCAGGGCCAGGGTCCCAACAAGAAAATAGGGAGCCTGGACAGCTAAGATAAAACCACACTAGCATCCTGTCTTACATCTTAGATAGGACCACAATACCATCCTGTCTAGCAGCCTCTGCAGAAGTGACTTTTGCAAAACATCCTGAAACAAAACAACTAACCTTAAAACATTGGTCACTATCACAAGTTAAGGCAGTTAGTCTTCAGATGTCAGCCCCAAAGACCAACACGTGAACAATAACCCGATAGGTAGACGGGTGTGTGATCAAAGCCCTGATTGACACATCTTAGCAGCCAATCCACACGGGCCCACACTCAAGATGCTCAAGATACATCTGCAAAAGAGCTTATAAAAACCCCAAGGTCTGAATGCCAGAATGGCAACCCTCCTGGGTCCCCTCCCTCTCTGGGAGCTTTATACTCTTGCTCAATAAACTCTGCCTTGCTGCCCACCACTCTTCATCTGGTCTACCTCTTCATTTTTCGAAGCAGCATGACCAAGAACCACGGGCACCATGGGAATAAAAATCCTGTAACACAAGGAGAATTCCCTTTTGAGTCAAGAACAGAATTATCTGAGTGTCTCTGAATGATGGCAAGACTGCTCCTCAGAACAAGTTCCTCTGGGGACTACAGGAAAGTCAGGCTGGGGGCCCTGCATCCTCCAAAACCTACTGGAAGCTCTAGTCCTGGCTTGGCCATTAATTTCTGCATATGTCAGCTCCCTCCCTGGGCTCCCATGTCCCCATCTGTGAAAGAAAGGATTGGATGGATCATCTGAGGTTCCCCTGCCCTAAAGCACCTGTGTATGTGTGTGTGCGCACACAAACACATGCTCATGCATGAATATAAGTGCTTGTGGATATGTGTGCATGCATGGATGAACATGTGTGACCTGTTCGTGTTTGTATGTGAGCATGTGTGGGAGCTGTGTATACATATGCATATTGTACTGCTAATGCTATGTGTGCACACATGTATGTTGTGTGTGTGCGTGCACGCTGTGTGTGCTATGGTGATTTGGGTGCACACATGTAGTGTGTATGCCTGTGTATTACCTGTGTGTGTCGATGCATTGATTGGTTACAAAGAACAGAGACTTGTTCAAACTACTTTTCTTGGTCACTTTGGACTTGCAAACTGCAGTATTTTCAGAACACAATCTATTCACGGGGGGAGGAGGTCCTGTACTGAAAGGGTTGGTTTTGTTGGGTCTCTCCCACTCTGGATTAGAAGATCCATGAGGGCTGTATCCCCAGTGGCTAACACCACATCTGATACATAATAGATGCTCAGTAAATAATTGTTGGAAAATGAATACACAAAAGAATTGTTTTCACTGCATTGTGTGAAATCATATCTGATACATAGTAGATGCTCAGTAAATAATTATTGGAAAATGAATACACAAAAGAATTGTTTTCACTACATTGTCATTCTTCTCCTGGTCCTGTTAGCTCTGCTAAGGAACTTTGTACCATCATAAACCATAGCTGTTCTCAGCAACCGTCCTGAACTCAGTTCACCTTGGGCCCAACCACACTTCATCATTTCTACCCACTTTGTGCTACGCTCTATATTTTATATAGTTATCACATCAAATCCTCACTACAAATATAGAGGAAAGGTGATGTTATTCCCATTTTTCAGACAAAGAAATCTAGGCTCAGAGAGCAAGTAACTTGTCCAAAGTCACATGCTAGTAATTGGCAAAGCCAGGATTCAACCCTGGGCCTAGCTCGTAAAACCTACCATCCTGCTTCCTACTAGAGAGGCTGAGACAGAAGCCAGCTGCCCTTTGGTCCCACTCAGTGTTCACAATGAGTAGGGAACCTGACAGCCAAGAGTTAATAAGACAGCACATCCTTGAGCTGGGGGTCAGCAGAGTATCCACTCCATGGCTATTTCTAAAAAGGTTCTCCCAAAATGAAAGAATGTATTGTCATGAACTAGAAATTGGTTTAACCAAACAAGTCACTGATAACACTAACCTTAACATCTTCCAGATCTAATGCTGTTTTTCTGCAGTCTATGGAATGGGAAACTGAGTCTCAACCAAGTTCTTATCCAGGCACTCAGGCAGAGGCAAAGTTTATTTTTGAAAAAAACACAGGTCTCCAAAGAGTGGGTTAACACTCTGGAAGGATGAGGTGAAAGAGTGCTGTGATTTTCAGGACAGAGTGTAGGCTGCTTTGCCACCTACCCCTCAGGAATCTAAGGTAACACTCACTGAAATCGACAAAGTGAAACTGCTGTCATTCAGGCTCCCTTTGCCCGGAGGACCTGATCTTTTTTTAAGCACTGTTTAGTGGGCTGGATTTATTTGGAAGAAAAAAATCAAGCAATTGTTCAGCAACAGTTAGGCTAGACATTGGCCTTGCTCTTTGCTTTTACCTGAGTTACACAGTGTGTCTCCCCAACACATACCAGACATATTTCTGAATTACAAAGGAATGTGTGTTCATTACAGAAGGAGAATGGAATGTAAATGAACATAAAGAATGCATTTTAAATCACTCCTGATCCCCCCATGCAGAGACAACGGCTGTTTAATATATGTATGTGTCTCCAAAACCAATGTTTTGCTCTTTTCTGTAGAAAAGCAATTTATTCCAGGTTAAGTAAAGGATCACTCATGTAGGAGTTTACTTTATCAACCAGTTTATTACACTTATTAGGGATTTTTAATAGAAAAAAGTACAAAAAGAAAACATGGTTCATGATGCGCACTCTCAAATATTCGAATTAACACTTTTGTAAAAATGTAATGCAAGCAATGTTTTGAAGAAGAAGAATGGAAGGAGGAGGAAGAAAAGGAAGGAAGGAAGGAAGGAAGGAAGGAAGGAAGGAAGAAGGGAGGAATAGAAAGAGATAAAGCAACAAGTAAGTCTTTTCTTCATTCCCAGAACCTTAAAGGTAGCCACAGTCAGCCTCTGCTGTCTCCCTGAAAAAAGTGTATGCATAACCACTACTGGGTATTTACCACAAAGATGCAAATGTAGGGATCCGAAGGGGTACGTGCACCCCGATGTTTATAGCAGCAATGTCCACAATAGCCAAACTGTGGAAAGAGCCAAGATGTCCATCGACAGGTGAATGGATAAAGAAGATGTGGTATATATACACAATGGAATATTATGCAGCCATCAAAAGGAATGAGATCTTGCCATTTGCAAAGACGTGGATAGAACTGGACGGTGTTATGCTGAGTGAAATAAGTCAATCAGAGAAAGACATGTATCATATGACCTCACTGATATGAGGAATTCTTAATCTCAGGAAACAAACTGAGTGTTGCTGGAGTGGTGGGGGGGTGGGAGGGATGGGGTGGCTGGGTGATAGACATTGGGGAGGGTATGTGCTATGGTGAGCGCTGTGAATTGTGCAAGACTATTGAATCACAGATCTGTACCTCTGAAACAAATAATGCAATATATGTTAAGAAAAATA